ATTAATTCATATTAATAATGATTTTAAAAATGATGTTGGAAATTCTAAAATAAGACCACAATGATTATATTATTTGATCAATTTTCTTTAGTCTTTGCCTATAAAAAAGGGTTTCTTATAAAAAAAAAATCAAATAAGGGAGGCTTGTCATCTTATAAAAAGTCGACGGTATATGATAATCTATATCTAGGTAAAACTCTGAGAATATTTTAAGGGGTTTTAGCAAGCTCAAAACAGCAAAATAATATGTCGTACTGACCCTCTTCAATGGGGGAGCATAAAGAACTAAATGCCAACGGCGAGCTCTGCAAATAAATTCAATATTTAACTCAAAATTCCACCCGTCTCCTCAACAAACAACATTGTAGTCTAATAAATTAGTATCGAGTAGGCATTTGAAAGTAATAATGAAAAAAAAAACTGTTCTGATGACAGTAATATTGATGATTGTCACAAATATCTACCAGACCTAATTTTTTAGTTATACAGTGTTTCAAAAAACATGTGCCATCTCCCGTGGGGAGATTCGTCATGTAAAAATAAGATTTATTTTCCATTAGCATAGGTCCGATTCTGCTTTGTTTCGTAGCTACAGGGTGTTAGTCTTAATAATTTTTTGATTTATTATAATTTTCTTCCAAGTACTTTTAGTGATTCGAACGAAATTTTGAGGGTAAAAGTTACTATAAGTGCTACACATTTTAATGCTAAAAAAAGTGTCGATAAATTCATCAGGAACTTGCATATGGGTAATCACTGGAATATTTTTCAAAAAATAAAATGTGCGCCACTGACTTTTCTTTTGATATCAAAATTGTCTAGGCCGTTTAATGCCAATTAAAAGTTATCTCCTGATATTTTGTCGAATTCGGCCTCCTTGATAAGATAAACGCAATTTTATTAATCACCAATAAAATTAAATTAAAAATAAAATTAATAAACTACCTTTCCATATATTTTAAATATTATTACTCTTAGTTATTATTACTATTAGTTCAACATAAAGCAATTTCAGATAAAAAAATAATGGTATTTAAGATAATTACAAAAAACCCAATTTTAAAAAGTTTTAACATCTATTTTCTATTAGACTTGGATCAACGCAAATTAAAATATTTTCGTTTATCTCATCAAGGAGGCCGAAACCGGCAAAATATCAAGAGACAACGTTTAATCAACATTAAACGGCTTACACTATTTCGCTAACAAGAGAAAAAAAAGTCAGTGCCATACATACTTTTTTTTAAAAAAATATTCCAGTGATAACCCATATATACGTCCCTGGTGAATACGTCAACATTTTTTTAGCATTAAAATATGTCGCACTTATAGGTAACTTTTACCCTCAAAATTTCGTTCGAATCGCCAAAAGTACTTGAAAGAAAATTATAACAAATCGAAAAAATATTAAGACTTTAAAGCCCTGTAGCTACAAAACAAAGCAGAATCGGACCTATGTTGATATGAAAAATAAATCTTATTTTTACGTGAGGAATCTCCCCACGAGAGATGGCACTTTTTTTTGTAACACCCTGTATATCAGATTTAGTAAGGAAAATACAAGAATATAATTAGTGGTTTGTTAATAATAATAGAAATAGCGAAAATAATAGAGTAGTAAAATAGAAAAAAAGAAAAGAAAATCGAATAACTAAAAATTTCTATTAAAAGAGGTAGCTCTATCAGCTCTAATCTTTGAATAAGAAGACTAAGGAAGGAGCATATCAAAAGTCTTAGGTACACCGCGATGGGCCTCAAATATGGCCGACTTAAATTCCGGTTTATCAGTGTCCTTCTAATTTTATTTAAAAAATGTAAAACTATGATGTGTAATAATATATGTAATGTTACACATCTTTTTTTCTTCAATAAAGACGATTATTATTATTATTATTATTATTATGTAGGGTAGACGTGGGGTAGACTCAATAATTTGCTGTTTTATATTACGTTATGAATAAATGTTGGTAGTTATTAAAATTGTTATAAAAATATATAATTCTAATAAAAATAGATAAGTTATAATAAGTATTTATTAACACAAACATCTGATACGCTACTGAAGCAGGTAAGTCAAATTAACGTATCTAAATTCTTTGACATCTAATCTTTGACAAGTAATAAATAAAAGCTAAAATGCAAGAAAAATATATAATTTAGTTAATTTAAGTGAATTTCATAAATGATCGGTTTACTACACGTATGTATATTATATAGTCACTTAGTAGCGAAAAGTTATTCCATTATTTCACTCAATTTTTGCCGAGATCTACCGCACGCTACACAATCTACTATTTTAGAGTCTTTTTCGATAAATCGCGATAGTGTCAATGTTAATTTAAGTTCTGCCACAATTTCCATCTAGATTTACTACCTTTATACAACTATCAGTAGTAGAATAAATAATAAATAACATAAAATAAGCTCCGTAAAGACTGACTAATCCACAAAATTTCAAATCAAATTCAAATGTGTCAAATGAATCGTCAAATAGAACTGTCAAGGATCCCCACCTTAGAGTGCTTTTTCCGCCCACCATGCATGAATACATGGATAGCATTATGCTCCTTCCTTAGTCTTCTTATTCAAAGGCTCTAATACAAATAGAAAATGTTGAAATGTAAATAGATCAAATATTTTTAATGTGCGATTTTAGCAGAGATATAGAGGTAGGGATAATGTTCCATTCTTAACCGTCTGTATGAACCAGCCACAAATAGAACAAAAATGATTGAAACTTAATAAAAAAAAATTAAAAAAATGTAAATACAACAGACCATGTCCTATAGTCATTCATATGATTTGATTTAGTTACATTTTGTCAAGTCTGTGCAAGCCAAAGTCCCTCTCACCTGAAAGTCAGTATATGTGGTGTTCTTCGTGGCGTCCAACGCTTTATCCTCGACCTTGTGCTTGCTCAGTCTCGACCTCCTCTTCTTGCGCCTCTCCATCGAGGCTCCCGACCTCCGCTTCTGGCTGGGCAGGGTCAAGGTCGCGTGCGTGAGCTTGATCTTGGGCACCGTGCTCGGCGTCGCGCACCCTAGGGGAGAATACTGGGTATTAATAAGGCAGCCAGAGGATTATCGTATGTATTTAGTTTATATGTTTACAATAAATTAAGGTAAATATAGATTGCACAAGATACAAAAAAAGCTATATTTGACATCAATTAAACTTTTAGTTACATAATCGAGGGCGCGATATTTAAATCCATTGTTGCCAACCATGGACATATTCGGCGCCGTGCTGACTAACTGGAATTTAAATTTCGCGCTGGGGATTCAGGTGATAGCTCTGCTATAAAAAATGTCAAGTTGTCGCATTAAAAAGAAATAAAAGCAAATGTGAATTGAATAACAGGTTTTCTAAGGTTCCTGTTGTAATATTAATGAATTAAGATATGAGAATTAAAAATGAAATAAATAGTTTGTTTTAAAAAGTTTTATTTATTTTTTACCTACTTTAGAGCTTTATTAAGTACGTAATGGTTTTTAATTATTAATTATTTTGTATAAATTGCCGTTGAGTTATATTTTTACTCGGTAATTGTACATATTTCATCACTATTATCCTGACTTAATGCATTCTCTTCGTTCTGATGCTCTAACAGAGGCTCCTTTTATTTTGTAACACTCCTTATAAAGTCCGACACCAGCAACAATAGTTTTTTGCACCATTTCAATGTGTTTATTAGTGTTTATACCTCATACGTTCTAAAATGGTTATAGTCTACATACTCAGAATAGGTAAGTCTTTTCGAAATAATCTAAAATCGAATTGATTGAAATAAACGAAATCTGCAATAGTAACAATGTCTTAGGTTATGTTAAGCAATTTTATTAAATTAAATCAAAATCTCCTCATGTGTCAAATTTTTATCCGACAAATAAAGCGATGTTTGGCAGTTCAGGTCCCAAACAGAATATCTGACGGATAAGGTTATTTTATCTAATAGATATTGGTATCTATAGGGTGAAGATACACTTTTTTCTGCTATCCATCAAATAAAATATATCTGGCGGATTATAACGCGCTATCTATACCTGAAAACACTGGGGGTAAATCCTTTATTTTTTTGTTAAATTAACGTTAGTCATATCACAGCCACCTAGATTTTATCAAATATAATAAAAATATACTGACACTAAATCATAAAAATGAATATATCTATGAAAATCCATGTCCGAGGGGTAGACAACCAATAGTATTTTAAAGAGACATAAATTCTCCATTCAATATCGGAATAATATACTGGGTGTTCTATTTAAAATAAAAGAGTAACTTACTTCTAAAAGTGACTAATGTTCAATATTAGTTTTGTCACACCCTGTATAACTTTATGAGTAAAGTTTTAATTTGTTTTAACGTACCTACAATGGTTATTTTAACTACATATATGGATATACAGGGTAAATTGCAATTTGGGCAGCGTTTATAAAAATTTAAAATTTATTCTTCATTTTTAAAAAATTAAATATGTAGGTATGTCAAAGACCTTAAATTTTAGTCATATGCTTCCGTAATGAAACTTTTTCCTAAAATCCAAAACCCTCAATTAATATACAGGGTGTTCCATAACAAAAAACAACTTTTGTTACTGGAAATATACTGAAGAACCCCCGCGTAAAGTTGAAAGAAATTAGTAAGAAATGACCACCTGAAGAAATCTGGGAAAATATGGGAAAAATAAAGATATTCTTGGTTTGAATGAGCAACAACCCCCGTCTGAACTAAAAAAAACATTTTTTTTGGAAAAATTCAATACAAAAAAAATTTATACTATTTTTAACTACTCTGTAAACAAATAATGGTCAATTTCTTGTTTGTTTTTTATTGGTATGTACAATACATAAATAAATAACCTAAGAGGGTTCAATTACATGGTAAAATACGTAAAACGCGCCGTTTTAATGGATACCTGGGCAAATTAATTCCAATAATCGTTAAACAATTAACAGAAAAAAAATAATGCCCATTATCCCACAAGTGCATTTTAACAAATTTTCTTAAAGCTTTGAAGTATAGCTCACTATTTTTATTGTTTAAAAAGTGACGTTATTAGTGGATTCTAAATTCTTTTTTAATAAAAAAAAAAACAGTAAGTAAATAATAAAAAAATGGGACAACTGAACATGGTTATTGCAGAAACTTTTGACAACTTTCTGAATATACTGTAAGTATTATTTTTGGTTTATAAATAAATCACGGAAAATGATTAAATTACTGAAATACTTTTTGAAAATATTATTTTTCATGGTATTTTCTAAGAAACTAATCAATGATTATTCACTTAAAAGTCGCTTATTAAAAATGCAGTAATATATCAAGTATTTTTTTTCACAAAAAAAATCCTGTTTTGGTATTTTTGTAAGACCGAAATAAGCTACCAATATTTGTACCTATTTAAGATATACCCTGTATAAAATATATCGTAGCCGAAACTACAGATTTTTTGATCCAAATTAAAATTAACAAAATTAACCTCCGTCCACGTTGTATACAGGGTGGTTCGAACTGTATTCCGGAAACTTCGGCAGCATATTCGGTAGATAAAAATAAGTAAAAAAATTCGTATAAATGTATGTCCTAAAATGCTTAGTTTCAGAGATACAGGGTGTTGGAAGTTTCATTTTTATTTAAATTTTTTTCCAAGTAATATCTGATGCAACAAAAATATTTGAATGAAAATTGGTGTCTGGTAGTTTTTTGGCATGAGAAATTTGATTTTTATGTCAATATGACTCCTACTTGTAGAGGGCGTCACCTACATGTGTTTTAACTGTTTTTAAAAGTAATAATTTTTCGTCCGTACCTGTATAAAACTACTAATTAAAAAAATATACATTTCCGTGATTTTTTACGTTAAAAATATCTCTTGGTAAAAATGGCTATGAGCAACCGTTCTCGAGATATTTAGAATGGAAATAGTCAATACATGTCATTTTTGACAAAAAATAAACATGTTGAGTAGATACTTACTTACATTTGTTTTTTAACTGGTTTGAAGGTTTGAAGAGTAATAAAACTTTTCGTCCGTACCTGTATAAAACTACTAAGTAAAAAAATATGCATTTTCGATATTTTTAATGTTGGTAAAATTCGGTCTTGGTAAAAATCGCTAAGAGTAATAATAGTTCTCGAGATATTTGGAATTGAAATTATCAATGCCTGTCATCATTAACATAAATTAAACATGTTAACTAAATAGTTATTAGACTGAAATCATAAATTTGAAATGTTTTTGTGCCAAAAGTTCAACAGAAACTGTTTTATCATCATTTTTTCGCAGAAAAATTTATGATTAATTTAAAAAATTAAAAATTTCTTAAATTTATTATTTCATTCAAATAAGTATCTGCTCAACCTGTTTATTTTTTTTGTCATTAATGACATGTATTGACTATTTCCATTCTAAATATATTGAGAACGGTTGCTCGTAGCGATTTTTACCAAGAGACATTTTTTACGTAAGAAGTCACGGAAATGTATATTTTTTCACTCAGTAGTTTTACACAGGTACGGATGAACAGTTATTACTCTTCAAAGCAGTTAAAACATGTTATGTAGGTGGCGCCCCCTACAAATAAGGGTCATATTGGCATCAAAATCAAATTTGTCATGTCAAACAACTCCCAGACACCAATTTTAAAAATTAAATACTGACGTTACTTCAGAAATTATTTGAAAAAAATCGAAATAAAAATGAAACTTCTACACCTTGTATTGACATATATTTTTACGAACTTTTTTACTTACTTTTATCTGTAGAATATGCTGCCGAAGTTTCCGGAATACAGTTCGAACCACCCTGTATAAAAAATTTACCAAAACTTCGTATTTCAAGGCATGTTTTCTTGGACTATACTGTTAACCAGGAAGTAACAAAGGAAGATGGAACAATATGATAAGCCCATATAAAGGCACATTTTGTTTTTTAAATTTATAAATATATTTAGAACTTCTTTCCTACTAATTTTAAAAAGTATTTTTTTTTTCGGAATAAAACCTTAATATTATGCCTTACCAAAATTTATAAAGAGCAAGTAACCTAACTTTTATTTTTAATGCACTTATTCTACAATTGAATTAGAAAACCTTCAGATTAAGTTATCTATTTCTCATCTTCTTTTGATTATTCTCACATTATTATGAAAACTGAATTATAATATCGTCAAAAAATTAATCACATCCTTTAATTTTTGGTTTGTTTTGACGCTAGGTGGCAACAACCAATAAAAATTCGAATTTTTTGAATTCATTGCCGACCAAAATGAACATAATCAGAACAGCCAACCTTTTCAATCATTGTAGATGGCTCCCTCTGTATAACCGAACGAGATATGACACATCCTATGACCAGTTGACCTCTGTCCTTACCGTATCGATCGCGAAACAGCATAAAAAACAACACGCAACTCCAGAGTATCCCAGTCACATCACCGGCCTCACAGAAATTAGTTCAAATCGTTTACATTTATTATTAATTAAAAAAACACGATGAAATCCTTCACAATTCTTATCTTATACTATTTTCTACTTAATTTCGACTCTACACACACCAGAGTAATAAAAAAACGTTCGATTTTCTCGTCCAAATGGTTCAAATTCAGTTTTTACCCAAGACTTAACATCCCCGACAATTTGCAAGGGCTTCGAAGGGATAGCCAGCGGGAAGGACGATTGTCAATTCGATCCGGATGAGGTACTGGACGTACCGCAGATAGTTAGGAGGCACGGGTACCCTGTAGAGACGCATACGATTGTGACTGAGGATGGGTACTTGTTGGGAGTGCACAGGATACCCGGGAACAAGGAGGGACAGCCTGGGAATCAACCTGTTTTGTTGCAGCATGGTCTGATGGGTTCCAGTGCCGATTGGGTACTGAACGGAGACACTACTTTGGGTAAATATTATTTTAAATAGATCACAAGTAGAAACAGCAAAATCATGTACAGGGTGGCTCGAATTCGACGCTCATCATTGGGATTTCGGAAACCGTAAGAGATACAGGATCGGTTAAATGGAGACAAAGTGGCGCAATTTGATGCTCAATAAAATGCCGTATTGCATTTTGAAAAATTCCAAATACTTCCGAATGTATTCTAAAAAAAAACGGAATTTTCAATTTTGTTGTCTATTGTTTCCTGTGTGATTAAATATTGACTCTGACGTTTCGGCTTCTGGCGCCCATCATCAACTTAATTTTTTTAAATACGGACCCGATTTTTTTTTTTCAATTTAATTAAACCCTTTCATCACTCAAACACACTTTCATCACAAAACACTATATATAGTCACTTTGATATTTGCCGACGTTTCGTACAGAAAATTCCATCTCCAGAATATTTTATGCAAAAAAATAAAAATGTAATACAGCATTTTATTGAGCATCAAATTGCGCAACTTGGCCTCCATTTAACCGATCCTGTATCTCTTACGGTTTCCGAAATCCCAATGATGAGCGTCGAATTCGAGCCACCCTGTACAGTATGTCCCTAGATCGTATTTATAAGAGAAAAAACTTTTTTATTATCAACTTTTATAGAAAAATGCACTCTTCACAAAAGTTTTTGCTTGTTCTAAAATGGCTAATCCGGCTTATACTTTTCCAAATTTCCATACAGTTTTAGAGAAAAATAAAAAAATTTGATAATATAATTGATTTTTTTTAATATACCCTTCACCGCTATATCAAGCATACTGTCTTTAATGGTCAGCTATTATTTTTCTTACACTGCATATTTTGTATTTTTTTTTTTTTGAAAAATTGTTCAAATTGACTATACCGGGTGCGTCTCAAAAGTGGCTCACCCCTGTAATTTTTTTGTTTTTTCAGATAAAGAAACGAAATTTGGTATGTCAGTATTTGACATAAATGACTACAACTTTTGATTTTTAAATGGCAACCTTGGTATTTTTTCACTTTATTCGATAGAAAATGACACTCTGAATAGAATGACATATCATATGCCAACTTCTGATATTTCCGCTTAAAACGAAATTGTATTTTAAATTTTAATCTAGAGTGCCATGGCTGTGTTAAAAACACTAATTTTCAATCAAGGAGCCTTGGTTAAATAGATTTGATCGTCTAATGTTTTTCGTATTTTGTTCTGGCCGGTTAAAAGATGCCCAAAGCGTATTTTTAATCATATCTCAATTTTTCAATTGGAACGAGGCTGGCTCATTAGCATATTTGGAAAAAGCATATTTTTACGAATAATTTCGTACCATACACTTGGAATTTCGGGCCAAATTCTCGTTATGAACCGCATGTTGCAATTTCAAATAAACTATTCGTGTCATTTTCTATCAAATAAGGTAAAAAAATACAATTGTACCAGTGAAACAGGAAGTGACCAAAAACAATTGAATATGTACGTCAATAAATCCTAATTTATGTCATATACTAACGTACCAAATCTCGTTTTTTTTTAACTGAAAAAATAAAAAAAGTTATAGGGATGAGCCACTTTTAAGACGCACCCGGTATTTACACCCTTTCAGAAATACGCCTACGATTTTTTATTTCAAAATAAAATTGTTGAAAATTTTACATTTTCCTTCAACACCCTGTATTTTTAAAACAAACCAGTGTTTTGAACCTATTTCGGTATAAAAATTTGGCGGTAAAAGATTATTTTCTATCGACTGTTCAGGTCAGTTTTGTACCACCCTGTATATTGCATATTTAGGATTTTTTTTAGGAAAAATGGTTGAAAATCATTTATGAAAAATAAGCATGTTGTAGATTAATAGAAATCGATTAAATGACTAACAAAATTAAATTTGGTTATTAAAATAAACATATTTCTCATTAATAATAAAAATTGGTGAAACACTATCATATTATCAGCATCCTACGCATATGACCTTGATATATATTTAAATTTTTTTATATTTAAATTTAACTTTCTTTGACTGATAACAACAACAACATAATGTTTTGGTATGAGTAATGATTAATTTATTGCAATTAATGAATATGAGTAATAAAGCTTTGAAGAACAATTTTTAGTAAAAAAAAACAAAAACACTGACCCTATTCTTTAAAAACTTAACGTTAATTTATAAATATATCAACTGATTCATAAAGCCAATTATTTAACTTACAGGCAAAATAAGTACAGTTTACCGGGTGTCCCAATATTCCGTGAACAATCTACATAATGTATTTTGGAATCAAAATAAGTTCAGGTTAAAATAAAGGTTTAAATATTTTTTTGCGATCATATTGTATGTCCACGGAATATGGGTACACCCTATATATCGTAAATTAGTTGATAACAGAACCAGAATAAAAAATAATATAATTAAAATAAAATATACGAAAAATATTGTTACCAAACACGTAAACTTTGGTGCAATTAAATTAAATTTATTCGTAATGACATATAATTTTATTACCAGTCATTACAATTAAATTTTATATGTTTTAAAACCTGTCTTCTAATAATAAGTACTTCAACTTTAAAATAAATGTACTACTAGAACAGTTACAGTTAAATTATAAAATAAAAAAGTCTCTTCAAAGTGGGACAAAATAAATTACTTTCTACACTTCATGAACTGTTTAACTTAAACGATCTTTTGCCGTGAAGTGACGTCACTATTTACTAACGATGTTGGCTACAAAAAGAACAACCGAAAAGATGTGTCTAGTCTTATAATGGTCTAACATATTGAAACGTATTTTTTTGTAAAAATATATACTACTAGCGTGTACCTTTCGTATTGGCCGACTTCGTTCGCGTCGAATTAATCATTTGTAATGGTGATGATAAAGCAAAGCAAGAATTTTCATTAACATACAAACTGGATAAAATTTTCTCACATTTATGTCAGCATGAGAAAAAACAATATGGCGATATTATTATAAAACTTGGTAATATTTGAGGGGTAGTTTCATCTCGTTGGAATTTGACTTTCGAAAAATCCGTTTGCCAAAAATAAGCTTTTACGTCAAGCAGTTTAAGCAGAATCGTGGTTAAGAAATTACCGAAATTTTTGGAACACCCTGTATGATTTTTGTAAAAAATTTCAAAATATGTAAAAAAACCAAATAAATTATGCTTGTCCAAGCGTTTTCCCGGAAGAATAACCGTTTTTAAATAACAAATATTTAATATTTGAGGGGCGTTTTCACCCTCTTGGAATTTGAGATTCGAGAAACCCCTCCTTATCGAACCTCTACTACATCCCACAGTCAATCCGTTTGCCAAAAATCAGCTTTAAACGTCAAGCAGTTTAAGCAGAATCGTGATCACTCAATGGTCATATTTTATGAAACACACCCTGATACACTCTGTATAAATTTATAAAAAATCTTAAAATATTTAAAACAACAAACTAAAATATACGTGTTTAAGAGTTTTTCCGAAAAACTCACCGGTTTTTAAATAAAAAATATTTTAATATTTGAGGGATAGTTTCACCCCCTTAGAATTCGAGTTTCGAAAAATCCCTTCTTATCGAACCTCTACACCCTAAAGTCAATCTGTTTTCCAAAAATCAGCTTTTTACGTCAAGCGCTTTAAGCAGGATCGTGATTAATCAATGACCAGATTTTTCCAAACACCCTGTATACATTTTTAAAAAATCTTAAAATATGTAAAAAACAGAATAAAATATACGTCTTTAAGCGCTTTTCGGAAACTTGACCGTTTTTTAAATAAAAAATATTGTAATATTTGAGGGGTGGTTTCACCCTCTTGGAACTGGAATTTCGAAAAATCCCTTCTTATCGAATCTCTACACCCTAGAATCAACCTGTATGCCAAAATTGAGCTTCTTACGTTGAGTGGTTTGGGCAGGATCGTGATTAATCAGCAGTCACTTAAGGATTTTATATATTAGTATAGATTTCCTTTTTTTTTTCAGCTTTCCTATTGGCCGACAATGGTTATGACGTATGGCTGAACAACGCCCGTGGAAACGTCTACTCCAAAGCCCATACAACTCTCCCTCCTTACAGCAGTCAGTTTTGGAACTTCAGCTGGCACGAAATGGGTACCAGAGACCTACCGGCAGTTCTCTACCATATCGGCAACGAAACTCAAAAGCCTGGAGAAATAATTTACATAGGCCACTCCATGGGTACCACTATGGCTTTCGTTTTAACCAGTACTTTACCCTCTGTAGCCAAAACTGTCAAACTATTCGTCGCGCTGGCTCCTACGGTTTATATGACACATGTCACATCTCCAGTGAGGTACTTAACTCCCTTTACCAGCGACATAAGTTGGTTGGCAAGGAACCTTGGTATAAACCAACTGAAACCAAGTAATAAATTACTTAAATTCCTTTCGTACGGTTGTGAAAAGAAATATACCAAAAAAATATGCGAAAATATATTTTTCATCGTAATAGGGTACGACGATTCAGAGTTCGACTTGAGAATGTTGCCCAAAGTACTGAGTCATGACCCGGCAGGGTCCTCAACGAAAACCGTACTACACTATTCACAGGAAATAAGAAGCGAGGGTAAATTCCAAAGGTACGACTATGGAACAAAGGAAAACATGCAGATATATGGTACTCCCCAACCGCCTGAATACAAACTGGACAAAATTACCAGACCGTTCTACATGTTCTTCGCGGAAAACGACATATTTGCTAATCCGATCGATGTAGAACGGTTAATACAGGCAGTACCAACGGTTGTAGGTACTACCAAGGTTCCGGGTACGACTTTCGGGCATATCGATTATATATTCGGCAAGAACGCGTACGATTATGTGTACAAGCCTTTACTAGGGGTACTGCAAAATTATACCATGGAGCAGGAAAGTTACTGAGATGTGATATTATTTAAGTTTTTACATATACATTTAGTTTTTTATGAGGCTTTAAAATAATGTTACCAGTGAGTAAAATAATAATAAAAAGTATTTATAATAATATAAGTAACCTATTTGAATTTATAAAAAAAAACGAAAGAAAAGCTTTTTGGATTCTACATGATGTTTAAACATATTTTATGTATGAATAATAAAAAAAATGAAATTAGAAAAACTATTAGTTTTAGGTTAGTTTTAGATATACAATTTTATACAGAGTCTTATAATAAAAAAATAAAAAGTGTTATATTTAAACAAAAACGTATGATATATCCGCCACCCTTTTTGAAGCACCCTGTATACACAAAAATAATATGAATGGTATATTAACATTCCCTAGAATTATTGTATTTAACATTCTTTCACAAAAAATGTCTATACCTATATACCTATATGGCGGATTCATCTATCCAAAAAAATCCTTTATGGGTATTTCGCCAGTGCACTGCAAGAAAAATCTACAAAATAAAATAGTTATTTTTTGTAAACACTTCTGCGTTAAACCTAAACGGACGCTGCTTGTCAGAAGTTGTGTTTAGAGTAATAAAAATTTGCCTGACAAAGAAAAAAAATGCTTAACGTTTCCTGAAAGTTTTCTTTTCCGTCGTCGGAAGAAAAAAATATAAAGAATCAAGAAAAAAACAATTTAAAATATTTAAATTGAACTATTCGAGAACACTTTACTTTTTAAAACAGATACGTCTACAAGAAATCGTTGAAGTTCTGTTAAAATGACATTATATTAAGTTAAACTTCAAAATTAACAATTACTACCTGATAACAATTACTTAATAAGGTAAAACCAAAAAGCCCAAATTTCTGTATGATTATTTTTAAATTTTACGTATGTTATGTTTATTTATGTTATGTTCTTTAAAATCAAAGAAGCGATTGCCATACTAACATCTACAGATGCATGAGCAATACATTTATTTTTATTAGATTGAATTAAAAAAGCCTCTTTTATTTTTCTTTTAGGGGCTATCGCTTCTTTCATTATAATTTTGGCGTTATTAAAATTTATTCTGTGCCCTGTGTCCCATGAATGCTGACAAATCTTAGATTTGTGAAAATCTCCCTTTCTTAAATAATCTTTATGTTCTTTAATTCTAACATTTAAGGGTCTAGATGTTTCACCAATGTAAAATTTATCGCATTCACAGGGTATTTGGTATATTACATTTTTTGTAATGTTGTTCTGTATTGATTGGTTTAGTATGTGATAAAATGGATCTAAGTGTATTTTGTGTTTTGAAAGATGTTCAATATTAAGAAATAAATAAATAAATGTGGCAACTTGACATTTTTTACAGCAGAGCTACCGCCTGAATCGCCAGCGGGAGATTTAAATTCCAGTTAGTCAGCCCGGCGCCGAATATGTCCATGGTTGGCAACAATGAATTTAAAAATCGCGAACTCGATGACGCAACTAAAAGTTTAATTGGTATCGCCTATAGTTATTAGATTGCAATGGTAACCATCTTTTCAATTGATAGATAAGGCACTTATCGACGTTTTTAACACACACACACACAAGACATGTCAAATTTGACAAGTAAAACTAAGTCAGTAATAATAACCTAAAACAGTCATTACTCAATTTTGTCTGTCTATAACAAAAATACCTCCGATGCAAACATTTTTGCAAATACAAAGATACCGTATGAACGAAAAAAACGGCGTCCAGTTGGCTGGGAAATGACGATCGATGACATTTCCCGTATAAATTTACATATAAAATGAAAGCGATCGTCATTTCATAGCCATCGCTGATGCCGTTATTTTTTCGATCATACGGTATAATAATGTCACGTCAAAGTCACTTACTTGTTTTGATCAATGATCTTGGCGTGTTCGCTTTCAGCCTTTTATTATCCATTGCTGGCGTTCCCAAAATCTTCCTCTTGGTCGCCGACAGCAATGTAGGAGTAGCAGCAGTGCTGGTAGAGGGAAACAGTGCTATTGCTGACTTTCCCGGTGTATACGCCATTGTGTTGTCCCTTTGCTGCTTCCTAGCGCTCAATTTTAGTTTTTTTGTCTAAAATTAACAAATAAAAACAGATAACTTTAAACCTATCGAATATGAGAGATTTATTTTATGTTATTTCATGGTTTTGTTTATAAAAAGATATAATTCTAATAAAAATAGATAAGTTATAATAATAATTATTTATTAACACAAACATCCGATACGCTACTGAAGCAGGTAAGTCAAATTTGCTGTCCTCCTTTCACGCAGTTGAGCAGCTCTGAACTGTTCAAGAACGCGATACTCTCACTCCATTCAATTGAGTCATAAAGTTCCAGAACTGTTCCGCGCCATATGGAGGCACCAGGCTATCGCGCACCGCTCCTTTCAGAACCGTTCTCGAGTAGCCCCAGGGCGTAAAGCCCGGAACTCGAAGTTCGCGAATGGAGGACAGCAATTGAGGTATCTAAATTCTTTGACATCTAATCTTTGACAAGTAGTAAATAAAAGCAAAAATGCAAGAAAAAATATATAATTAGTTAATTTTAAGTGAATTTCTTAGGTGAATTTCATAAATGATCGGTTTACTACACCTATGTATAGTATTTAGTCACTTACTAGCGAAAAGTTATTCCATTATTTACCACAGCCAACTATTTTACAGTCTTTTTCGATAAATCGCGATAATGTCACTGTTAATTTAAGTTCTGCCCCAAAAAAACCCTTCTAGATTTAGTACCTCCAAACAACTACCAGTTGCAGAATAAACAATAAATAACATAGAATAAGCTCAGTAAAGACTTGACAAATCCGCAAAATTTCAAATCAAATTCAAATGTGTCAAATGAATCGTCAAACAGAATTGTCAAGGATCCCTACCCTAGAGATCTTTGACAAGGAAAGAGAGGGGACAGGTAACACGGCAGCTGAAAGTGAGGCAAGTTGTCACCACGCGAAATTCTCCAATGGCGTAGCATCAGAAATTAGCTTGTACCTAGACGGTACAAAATATTTATTAAAACGTAAACTAATATATCGTTCATTTTTGAGTAATGCATATACAATTTTATATTTTATAGTCTCACCTTTATAATATTAGAATATCTAAGTCGATAATGCAAAATTTATTTAACAGTCACAGTGGACTGATTATCAAGACAATTATTTATTTATTAACGTGTGTATAATGTATAATTAAATAAAAATTAACGTAATAACATATATTTTAAACGTGTATATACATATATACTGTATGATCGAAAAAAACGGCGCCTTGTTTGTTTTGAAATGACAATTTCACAAATGAATATTAAAAATTACATTATTCATTGAATCTGTAAGCAAGTGCGAAGGGAATTGGTTAGATTCATTATTATACCGCTTAATCAAAAAAAAAACGACGTCCAGTTGGCTTGTAAATTACGATCGATGACATTCCCCATATAATTCTACATATAAAATTACATTAAAACTATACAAAACGACATCGAAAAAAGACGGCGTCAGCGATGGCTATGAAATGAAGATCGCTGTCCTTTTATATGTAAAATTATATGGGGAATGTCGTCGATCGTCATTTACAAGCCAACTGGACGTCGTTTTTTTTTCGACCATACGGTATAATAATGAATCTAGCCATTACCCTTCACACTTGCGTACGAATTCAATGAATAATGTAATTTTTAATATTTGTTACCTTCAATCATAAGAATATCCTATTTTTAAGAATATCCGAATTTATTCACAAAAAAATAAAACAATTCAAGAAGCTTTGTGTTATTTTATTTATTTTTAAATGTTTATTAATTACTCACTGAAACTATTATTATACACTTAAATTAGCAAATTTTTTGAAAGAATATTTAAAAAATATATGTATGTAGTAACAAGTAGCCCACCACAAGTTTGTCCACCCCCAACAAATCTTGGCAGGTAAATTTAATTTTTATATAATTATACATATAGATTTTTTATCACCAGAATTTTTCATTTTTTTATAGTTTACAATTATTTTACATATTTGATAACAATACTTTATACAAAATGTTTATTGCAGAAATTGTATTTCTCTGATTATAATTCCCTACGCCACTGCTGAAATCCGGTCTGAGTAGCAATATTTATAGTTTCAAACATTAATTATAATACAGGATATTGAAAATACTACATGGAATTATTAAAAATAGTTTGGTTTGGATGTGGTACAAGACATATTAAAAGCATTTCACATATTTTTACTGCTATAATGAAAAAAATGTACATTTTATGACCACATAACAAAAGTTGTGTATCGATTTTTACCTGTGAAATGTAATTCCAGCCACTTTTTTCTCGCTTCGGCCTTTGCAGCCATACTCTGAACATCTCACCATACTAAACAACACAGTTTATAAATTTTAAGCAAAACAGTTGTCACAAAAAACATAAAAATTCGCTCGGTGTCACCTCGAAATATTGTCACCAAAGAATGGCCGCCGATCGAATTTTGGCCTCACTATCCGATCACGGGAGAATATGCGTGTTAAGCCCCGTTCTCAGAACTGCGACTGTCGCCAGCGACACGACAAAAGAACCAATCAGATTTGTACAAAATTCAAACAGCTGTCAATTTTAAATTTAGTCAGCTCCCATTGGTTGTTTGAAATGTCAAACTGTGTCGCCCGCGACACGACGTTGTTCTGAAGCCCCGTTCTCAGAACAGCGACTGTCGCCAGCGACACATCAGAAGAGCCAATCGGATTTCTACAAAATTCAAACAGCTGTCAATTTTAAATTTAGTACAGCTCCCATTGGTTGTTTGAAATGTCAAACTGTGTCGCCAACGACACGACGCAGTTCTGAGGACGGGGCTTGAGAACAAAGGCTTTACCCGTCCCCTCTCTTTCCTTGTTTAAGCTAGAGATAGAGAGCATTATACTCCTTCCTTAATCTTTTTTTTATTCAAAGATTGTAATAGAAATTACAGAACGTAAAGAGAAAGAAATAAAGAAAATATCATTAAATAAAAAAAAGTTAAAAAAACCAACAGGACTTACATTTTCTCTTCGGCATACTTGTTGCTAATGTAATCTTTCGGGTCATACCAAAAACTAAACAAGGATCTGCCGTCATTTGAACTTCTGAACTCTTCAGACAGAGCCAGGATTTCCTCCTCAATCTTCGGTATCATTTTTGACAGCTTATTTCTCTTTTTCCTCCTGTAATAAACACCCCTATTTTTATACCTATTCGGACCAGTGGCATTCTCCTCCAATTCAATCATCCTCTCCCACAACTCCTTGTGTTTTTCCAGCAATTCAGAAGCTTCCCGTTCTCCCGGTAGTAGTCCTTCCATTTCTGGATCTCCATCTCGT